TCTCACCCGCAGTGTCACCAGATTCGTCGTTGAGGTTGGGTCGGTTCATGTGGATGTTTATGACGTATTTCGCAATCGTCTGCATTGAGTAATGGTAAAAATAAACGGCTAGCAAAGTAATGGAAGAGGAGGATGACCTTGTCCCTCGCTTCGTTATGTTCGTCTCGAACTATAAAGATCATATCAAACCGAGACAATATAGTGGTTTGGAAGTCAATGTTCTGTAACAGGGTAAGTCAACATCCAATAAAGAAATAAGTTTTACTAACCTCTCCCGGACTCCTGCCTTCGTCATATCTACCAAATACCGGATTCGCAGCTGCAAGAACGCTTGTCCGTGAGTTGAGAACTGTCGTAATACCGGCTTTGGCAATGGAAATGGTTTGTTGTTCCATGGCTTCGTGAATGGCTACTCGATCCTCATCTCGCATTTTATCAAACTCGTCTATACAAACAACGCCAGTGTCCGCCAGTACCATGGCTCCACCTTCGAGATAAAACTCTCGCTAAGATGAACATTAACAAACTGCTCTGAAAATTTTATGAAACAGCTACGCACAGATACCGAATCGCGTTGAACAGAAGCTGTCAGACCAGCCGCACTGGAGCCTTTGCCAGATGTGTAGACTGCGATTGGGGCGACCTTCTCGACAAATTTGAGAAGTTGACTTTTTGCAGTACCGGGATCACCAAGGAGTAGAACGTTAATATCTCCTCGCAGTCGCATGCCATCAGGAAGGATTTTCTTCGAACCACCGAACAGTAGGCAGGCAATAGCCTTCTTGATGTCTGAAAGAAACTTAGACATGTATGGTATCGGTTCTGTTTAAACTCACCAACACCGCCATAAATACTGGGGGCAATGCTCTTGGCAAAACGTTCGTAAAAGTTGTCGCTTCGGGCCATCTGATCAAACTCTTCCTCTTGCTGAGGAGTGAATTGAGCACCGAAAGGGTTGGTACCGCCAGCGCCAGCAGGTGTCATAAGTTCTAGATGAACAAGACGTAAATATGGTTGTCGTAGAGCAGCAGTTCCGGCACTCTTTTGCTTGGACGATTGGAATTGAGAGTAGATGCCTGATGCAATGATTCGTGAGCCTGGGACGACTTTACCAGTCAAATGCCTGTCTGCACTGAGTAGCATGTGACGTGGAAGCTCTCCGACTGGTACCATATCAGGCGCTTCTTGTAATTTGAGAGTTTGCTGGTCGGCAAAGGTCGATTTGGAGTGGATGATAATGTATGGGTCGAGCGGGCATTTTTCTTTCTGGCCAGTTGGATCCTCAGCATCGCATACTCGGGGAAGGCCTTTATCTGAGCCACTTCCCATTCCACCGAGACCACCCTGCGGGAAGATGATCTTCGGAGCTTGGCAACCGCGACATTGAAGATGAAGCCTGCTCGCCCGAGCAGAGAGAACTGAGGCTGAGATAACGATTCCAGGCATGCGGACGAGTTTGTTCATGGTGTTGGCCGTGAGGTCACGGACTTGAAGAAGGTTTAGTCCGGACTTTATAGTAATTTGGATCTTTGGAATTGCTTCTGCGGCTCTTTCTGCCCCTTCATCTGACGTTCCAGCGAGAGGGAAGAGGATATTTCGTGCAAATCTAGCAGCAGCATTTTCAAACTAAATGCCAGAGTCAGCTTTGCACATCGTGTAGATTAGTAACTTGTACACACAAGTGGAAGTACGTCCGCGGGACGATCTTGGATCGCATGCGCAAGCTCGTCGTTAAACAGACTTAAATGGCGAAGGTCGACCTCTAGGAAATGCTGCTTAAGTAGAATATTTCCCCGAAGCTTATCTCTATCAAAGAATGGGTAATGATATGACAAAGCGTGCGTAGTAAACGCGGCTGACTTACCGGTATAGATATTCTTCACCAACGCGAAAGTCGTGAAGGAACTGAATAAGAAGTTTTTCTGTCTCTGCTGGTGAATCTGGTGACGTGGCATCTGGTGGTTGATGTGCAGCAACTGAATAAACGCGATTTGGCTCGAAACCAGACATACTTTGTCCTTTGAGATTGATAGAACTATGTTATGGGCAAACTTATCCCTGCTAACAATGAGTGACACAGCCGAGTTTAGGGCTGGCCTTGTCGCGTCGCGCCCGATTTAGACGACCTTCATTTTCTCCTGAGTGCTCTCATGACTGAGGCTACATCACTATACCTTTTGCCCAGTCATCCTTCTATCTCTTCGCTTGATCCACTCAGCGTGTGCGACGATGATAATCCTACAGCTTGGGCTGTCATAGCAAAATCAATAAAAACCTTTCGTGCTCAGCCTGGTCACACAATCCATCACCTCCCCCATCTCATTGAAGATCTGTCGTACTCTGTCCAAAAGGATGGCAATGTGGACACCAAATTTCTGAGGAAAAATTTGGCTGAAATCTTCCCTGGCCCTGACTATCTATCGGCAGCTGCGGCGTTGGACTCGATTTTGGATGCGGCTCTCTCTATGCCCTTCTCCTTTCCGTCAAACACGCTGCGTTACATTGACAAATCTCATCCATTATGCGAGCTTCAATCTCCACAAATCGTATGCCTTCTTTCTCATCAAATTCTCAATACACTATCTCCTCCTCCTTCTAATGATTGGGGATGTACATTCATCATGTGGTACTCGGAGCCTCAGGCGTTAGAGGAAGCGGTTGCTGGGTACCTGAGAACCATCTTTGACTTCTTTACGCTGAAGCCTTGGAGCGGACTTAATGTCTCTCTCCAATATCACTTGAGCCCTGCGCAAGAAAGCGTCACACACGAGCTTACGACCTGGAAGAACTGCATGGCGCTGGACGTTTGCTCAAACATTTTTCTGGAGCGTGTCTCGAACAGAAATACACCGTTTCCTCATGGGCGTATAGCATGTACACTCGTGGCTTCAAATAAATATCCAGGATTTGGACCAGCTTGCACGCAGGAGGAACTTGTGACTGCTGCTTGTCCACCTTTGCTTTTGTTGGGAGCATTGTTCATTCTGCCTCCATTACACTCAGAAGCCGTCCTCGTTGCTCGCGGAAATTTTCCGGTAGCGAAATGGGTTGGTCAGGGTAGATATGCGAGATATCAAGGAATGACATCCTCCGATTATTACACATTCCTTTTTCTCGACGCAGCCGAGCTTGATCATGATCAAGTCACTCAAGGCAACCTCCCTTTACTTCCTGATCTGATGGTGGACAATTTCACGAGGGACCTGCACAAAGCGTACGTCGGGTTCCAATTTCTTACTACGCTCGGATGCGAAGAAATTGCTTCGCCTTTGTGGGGGGCAGGGTCTTTTGGTGGCAACCCGGTTGTGAAGTTTCTGATTCTTGGAGCAGCTGCTGCGCGTGCAGGAATTAAAGTTTACCTAACGATTGAAGAAGAGAGGTACATTGCTGAAAACTCGTCGGCCCACACGGTACCAAACAGCTTGTTTTCGAGTTTGGAAGAATTAAAAAGCCGGTGCACCGAAACCTCGGTTGGGGAGATGGTCAGTAAGTTGACGAGTGACGCTGTCAAAAAATGTCAAAACACGATGGAGTTGTTGAAAGTACTGTAAATTGGATCTTTTGTTATGACATTATGATGTGTCAAGCATTTGTAAGGATTGCTGATTACTGATTTGTCAATGTGCACACAGAGTCGATATCATCGCCCTTGGTAGTTCACCGTGATCTTAAATTAAGCTATGTAGATAGCATGATATTTATCAAGCAATTGTTCTTATCCATGACATAAATTAGTGACAGGACCACAAGTTCAGATTTGGTAGTTATGTATTTTTTCAACGATTGCCAATATTGATGATTATCGGATGAAGTTGTCCTTAAATACGCAACATAAAGGAGTTTGTGTCTCAGCATGGGACACATCGTATCAATAAATGAAAGCTATGTTGGGGGGCCAAGTCCAGAAAAGATCAGAAGGAACTTGTCGAAACACTAATGACCAACTACTATGAGCCTGGTTGTTTTTACAACACTACCTTATCTACGCTTATTAATTTTCGGGGACTGATCAGCAGGAGCACCTCCCAAAAATTCTCTTGAGTCAATTGTTGTCGCTGTCGAGCATGCACCTCAGTAACAGATACCCAGCTCGCAAAGTTTGATGTGAGCCCTTGAAGTGACGTTGAACTCAAAATTGAGCGCTTGTTTGTACGTAAGAGAGTCTGGGCTGATGTAGAATGAGCGAAGACATGCCAATGCTTGGAAAGTTGAAATTAGCTACCTAGTATCCTCTAATAAGACAGGTCAAAGTATTCTTACTACGAATATGCAATTTCATCGGTTTCAGTAGCCTGTGCTTTTGAAAAAAAGAATCCTTACTCGTTACTACGGGATAGACATTAGTGAAGGCCAGATTCAGTAGGAAGCTATTCTATGCCATTCTTAAATACTCTGAGCGAATGATGGAATTAAAATATATAAAAGAGACTCAAACCTCTACGTTGATGACGCACATTGGGTAGCCTAGCGTAAAGTATTCGTTAAGTACTCAACAGCAAGTGGCCATATCAGAAGCAAATTCCAATCAAAAAATAATCTTTGGTGAATTGATGAGGCTGAGAGCCTAGTTACCTACAACGCCAGGATGCCTATGTCAAGTTCTATCGCAGAGTGATTGATCAGGCGCCCGCGCCGATCTAAAGTTAGCAAGTTTGATCTTCGCCCGATTTCTTCTACCAGATGTTATTTACCAGATTTTCTTCGCTATATAAATTTATTTCAAGATTGAAATTGTATTTCAACTTGGAGTTTACAAAAACAAATTTGTATGTTATTACTCCCTTGCTTGATGTAGATTCACCAATTCGGCTTACAGCCTGAGAATTCTTAGTTTTCAGTTTCAATTTTTATTTTCCCTTGTGGTTTGGTTGCCCAAGCCTTATATATCTTTTAACTTGAAATTAGAAACTACATTATGATTTTTTTCTGTTAAGGAATTAGAGCCCTGATGCAGTTACTGGTCAGCTTGATATGTAGTAATTTGTCTCGTCATATATTAATCCTTCTTAGCTCAGTTGGTAGAGCGCGTCACTAGTAATATCTGGCATGATGACGAGGTCAGTCGTTCAAGTCGGCTAGAAGGAATTTCTTTTTTTTCTTTTGTTTTCAAGAATACCCGGCTTTGCGTCCAGAAAACGATTTCGAGCGTCGAGGAAACCCGGCGTGGAGGTAGTTGTGTGTGTGTGTGTGTCTCGACGCGTGACTCCGTGCACCAAGAGTTTCTTGGTCTTCAGGAGTTCTCATTTGTGTCTTCAGTTCTTCACTTTCAAAATGAGCGCAATGGATACTGACGATGTTTCTGTGGTCTTACCATCGACCACACAGTCTGGTCTATCCTTGTCTTTGTATGTCATTTGATTCACTCTCTGTGGAAAGCCAATGATGACCGAGATTAGGCATCCTTTGCCGATCTTGAACATCTCTGAGCATTTGACGCGCCTGAAGCTTCAGCAAAACAATCCGGATCCATTTGGTATGCTAGTTTCAATGATCTCTTGACAAAGTTGAAACTATATATTGTATAGTCTTGGGAGCTCTTTTGGGGACGCAGAATGGTCGAGAAGTTGAGATTGTCAACACTTTTGAGCTCGCGGTCGTCGAGGAGGATCCTAATCTCGTAGATCATGAGTTTCTGGTATCTCGGCGCGACCAATGTAAGTTTCATACCTGCCCAGCGATTGTGTTCAAACTCATAATATCCCCCAAGATAAACAAGTCTTTCCGTCGCTTGAGTTTATTGGTTGGTACACTGTTACAGCGAAACCCACTGCAAAGCATATCGCCTTTCATGAACAAGTAGTATTTTTCATTAGAGATATTTTAAAGGCTGAAACTCCGCTTTACAGTTCACTACGCATTGCTCAACACCGCTGCTCCTAATTCTGCAACCCAGCTTGGCACTTGTGTCAAGCACAGACGTAAACGCGCAAACACTTCCCTTCAAGGCCTATGAACCTTCTATCGAAATGAAAGAACGAACGTCACGCTCCGTCTACATGGAGGTGTCCTATAACGTTGAGACTGGCGAGGCCGAACGCATCGCCGTCGACTGGACAGCACGAGGCGGAGGCAGTGGGACGAGTTGTAAGCTTTCGCGAAATCGCATATCCTCCAACCTCTCACAGCATCACTAGTGGAATCCCATCTCCAAACTCAGAGATCTGCGGTGAAAATGTTACACGAGCGAATTTTGGTACTCGTAAAATATGTTACGGACGTTATCGCAGGTCAGTCCGCTTGTCAATTCGACCACCGAATCTGGTTTACGATAAGGACCTCCACAGGTCAAGCTCGACCGGATGCAGGAGTCGTTCGCTCCGTGACTGCTTTAATTGCTTCCCTTCCCGCGTCCGAGAACAAGTATTTTAGAGAAGAGTTTGATACGGTACGAATGTCCGGTGTCTTCTTGGTGGTCTGCTCCATATGACCCTACTTTAGGAATACGAAGACGTTCAGCTGACTGCTTTCTTATCTACACTCACGAAATCCACCAATATCCTTAACGATGTAAGAGATTTTTCTTTTGTTTTAGGCACTGTATCTAATATATTCATAGTTGGTCGATAAACACATTGTCCTTACGAGTGGCAAAGACGATAGATCGGCAGGACCGCGACGAAGAATGGGGCGCCAGGGAGGGCCTGCTGAATGGGATCGATTCCACTAGGCGTCGAGACACGTTTACATCGACATGACAGTACTCTGTAATATAATCGCATTAAACTTGTCTGAAACCTTGTTAAAACAAAGCGATGCTCTAATGTAAACTCAAAGGATACAAAACACCAGATTATACATGGCCGAACTGTCCTGATTGTCTAAATAATTAGAGATAGCTGTTGTGGGCTAATGAATATGAAGTGTGAAACAATACAGCGAAAATGTCCTGAAAGGATGCAGGTATAGATGGCATGTGCTCGAAGATAAGAACAGATGAAATTCCATAGATCGTCAGGGGAATCCCTTGAAGCTTTATGCTGGTCGACTTTTGTTAGAGCCAGCGAATATACCAGAAATCTTCCCCTTCTTGGAGGATCCTTCGGGAGAGCTGTCTGCCGCGCCTTCCCCACCAGAGGACGGGGAAGGCCCTTTAACATTAGTCTTCAGCTTTTGCCAAAGCGAGCGTTTTCCAGGCGAGCCAGATGACGAAGAAGTCTGAGAGGATGAATTTGACAACCGGCGGCGGATTGATATACTGTTCGCAAATGAGGGTTGTCGGGGTGCGGTATGTGATGAATGAGTATCGTGTTCGGCAATTGAGGTAAGACCGGCGCCACTTGATGCAGATTCTGATTTCGATTCTTCCGAAGCTACGTCTGAGCCATCTGTATCAGAAGACGGTGCAGGCGGGATTTCGTCGAGGCCTGACGTGTGTACGCTCGAAGACGATGTGCTTGGAGAACTTGCCATGATAGATTTGGGCTTGGCCTCGTCGAGAGTGGCAAAATGAGGGTCACGCCAAGATACTGTTCGGCTGTGACTGTGCATCGAGTCAACGTCGGCATTCTCTTCTTCCATCTGGAATACTTCTTGGATTGTCACGTCATCGTGACCTTCAGAGATACGTTTCCTCAAAGCGGCCAGATGAGGAGAGTGGACGGTCGTTGCAAAATCCCAGGAGTCAACCGAATTAGCGAATGTCGCGGAAGCAAGTGCCCGCCGTTCTTGGCGTTGCGTTAATGGAGGGAGGTCCTCTGTGCAGCGAGAAAATAGTCAGAAAAGTTCTAGTCGGGGCGTAAATAGCTCACTCAAAATGGTATTGATCAAATACGAGTGCTTCTTGGCGGACTTGAAGAACGGGGACTGAAGAAGCCCCTCTGCCGTTGGACTAAAACGTCTTTAGGATATGAAAAACATGACTGTATCTCAGCCGAAGACGGACCGTTTGGCAGGATCCTTGTTTAGGCACCAGTCAATAATATCTTTGAAGGCACGAGAGTACTTGTAGGTTCCCCCATCTCGGTTTAATGTAGGCGGGTCTTCTTGAATTCTGTATTGAAAGCAAATAAGATTAGATAAGTTACCCTCAAGCGAGAGTTCAGTTGGCTTACGTTCGAAGGAGAACTCTTTGAGGAGACTCACGAGACCTGGGTGGTCGGCCTTGCGTGAGTTCCAACGCAGTTATACCAAAGCTCCAGATGTCGGCCTTTGAGTCGTATTGTTTTCCCTGTATGAGCTCCGGTGCCATCCAACAAGGCTATTATGAAGCGTTCGGTAAGCTTGAGCGCCATCGTAAATGAAATTTAATCTTACCGTGCCCACAAATGATTTTCGCTTACCCACTTTTGGCCTTGCAGGAGCTGGGACAGCCTCGTCAAACAAGACTGCGCGCTTCCCCGTACTCCCCCCTGAATGGGTAGATGAGGTAGAGGAAGATTTGAATTGCGACATTGAGGAGGGCGATGTGATCGAAAACTTGGTATGAGGACTAGGAGCAACATGAGAAGTATCCTCGGCCAAATCAGCCGCTACACCCAGATCTCCGAGAAGAACAGTCCCGTCATCATCGATGAGAAGGTTGGCAGCTTTAATGTCGCGGTGAATGAAGCCATTGATATGGAGGTAGCTAAAGGAAGGACGTTGAACGGCCTGCCCGGCGGTGGGCCCAGATTATTCGAACTCACTTGAGTCCTTTCAGTGCTTGTCTAAGAATGCACCGAACAACGTCCTCTTCCATTCCGCCAGGCCATCCATAGCGCATGACATCTGCAGCACTTCCCTTGTTCATGAGACGAAGAGCAATATAGAGTTTGTGGCCATCTATCCAGGAGCCACGGACACGAAGCACATTGGGGTGTTTAGACAGCGACATTAATGTTGTTTCTCTCTGCAAAAGTTGAAGCGATCGTGGGGGTAGTTTGTCGAGGTCGAGAACCTTGAGCGCACAGGGTGTACTCTTGGATGAGGGTTCGTCGATTGATTTGTATCCAGCAGAATAAACGATGGATGAAGCGCCGAAGCCTATGGGTTCGCCAATGGTATAATCCTCGGCTCGGTCACTAGGGGGGCACGCTTGAGCTTGAATGTTCTGCGAAGTAGTATTTTGACGTACCTGTAGAGTTGCCATTCGTCTTCCACCGCACCAATGAATTTTGCAGGTATTGACATCGTCTCTGGAGCATTGAGTACACGGGAAGAGGTTGGTTCAGAAGTGGGCTGAATCAAGGTAGACATTTCCAAAAATCTGGGTCTCTGGTATATACCAAAAAAAAATAGGGCAGGGGAAAGGTAAAGGGAATTAGTGATGCCGAGAGTCCTTGAGAGTGCGTATTGTCAATGGAGGTAGTAAAGTGTGCTGTGTAATATGGTTGGTGCTGAGCTTGTAGCTTGTTGGAGAGATAACGAACAAATATACCGATCTACACGGTGCAGGGATGTCCTGCCGGAGGTACAAAGGTGCGTGTAAATATAAGTGGGAATACGAAGGCCAGCCTTGGAAAGAAAATTGGAGACCTTGGTTGTGCGCTTGTTATACTCGATTTCGAAATGTTCTGGCAGACGAAGAGATATCTGAAACACTGGCCGAGTTAGAGATGAGGCCAGATATCAAATGCAACCTTGGCGCGGCTTTGCGGCTCTTGGCGTGATATGAGTGATTTGGGTTACTTGATCTGAGGACCCTCAAAGGACATACTAAGCCACGCTGTCATCTTTGGTAGACCTTTATTAAGCAGAGCTTCGAAGTTATTGCTTTGACCAGCTGGCGTACCATGTTCAAGATTCTTTCTCTGTTCCACTTTAAAGACCGCCGATCTTCTTGGCTCTGCTCTTATTTCCGGTGCTGACCAAGATGCGGTGATACACGCAAACAAATTTCCACCGTCGTCCTTCTTTCCCAACCACCACCAGTGCCGTCGAAGACCTTGCATTGAGTTTCTCCTGCGGCAATGTTTCGGCGATTTTCATTTCATAGACATTAGTCAAGTAAGCTTTATTTCCCAATTTGAAAGTTGTGTCTTAACAGGTTCCTTTTTAGTGTTGTCATGCTGGTTTAGAGTTCCAGCGTTTAGTTTCATTAATTGCCATGAAAGCTTCTTATTGTCTTTGCAACTCTCAAAAAGAGTTAATCAGGTACCTTCGGCCAA